TCCAAAGGCAGGAGCCAGGAGCTTCTTTTGGGTCTCCCACATGGGTGCAGGGGCCCAAGGACTTGGGCCATCTTCTACTGCTTTCCCAGGCCATAGCAGAGAGCTGGATCAGAAGCGGAGCAACTGGGACTAGAACTGGCACCCATATGGGCTGTTGGTGCTTCAGGCCAGGGCGTTAACCCGCTGTGCCACTGCACCGGCCCCAAGACCCACTTCTACCCAGGGTTGACCTCATTTGCACAGACTCAGACATGGTGCAATAGCAACAGATGCTACTGTCGCTCAGGAGACTGAAGATTCGACGAGGAGCTATTTTTCACCTTCCCACACTCGTCCTCTCAGACTTGATTTCTTCATTCATGGGAGCAGATGAAGTAGCAAGAACTGCCTCGCGCAGCCTCTCGGGTATTCTGTGTCGTAACAGAGTCGGGACTCAGACCCTGACAGCTGCCTGATTGTCACAGTCAGGCCCCATTGCTGGGAGCTGCCATTGCCATCAGTGTTGTCATTGTCCTGTTGATCCTGGGGCCGTTTAAGCACAAGTCATTGCATGGTTGGACCGAGAACTATGGACGTGCAGGACAGAGGCTGGGGCCCATCGTGGAGTCTGGGTTTGGGAGCCCAGCTGGAGTGCAGCGACAGCCCTGAGCTGAGCCCGTTTCACCAGGGACTCAGTCACAGTGGGCGGAGCAAACACAGCTCAGCTGCTGCGTGCAGGTTTTGGGCACAGGAAGTGCAGGCCTGGCTGCTCTCTAGGAGGCCTGGAGGGGTCAGTCAGGGGCGCTCAGAGGAAATGCCAGATTCCAGGTGGGCTTGAAGGACGAGTAGTCACCTGTGGCATTTGCTTCGTGGGACTCCTGGTCTAGGGCTTTTTTATTATTTATTTATTTATTTATTTATTTATTTTTTGACAGGCAGAGTGGACAGTGAGAGAGAGAAAGGTCTTCCTTTGCTGTTGGTTCACCCTCCAATGGCCACTGCAGCCGGCGTGCTGTGGCTGGCACATTGCGCTGATCCGAAGGCAGGAGCCAGGTTCTTCTCTTGGTCTCCTGTGGGGTGCAGGGCCCAAGGACTTGGGCCATCCTCCACTGCACTCCCTGGCCATAGCAGAGAGCTGGCCTGGAAGAGGGGCAACCGGGACAGAATCCGGAGCCCCGACAGGGACTAGAACCCGGTGTGCTGGCGCCGCTAGGTGGAGGATTAGCCTCGTGAGCTGCGGCGCCGGCCTTTTTTTTTTTTTTTTTTTTTTTAAGATTTATTTGTTTATTTGAAAGAGTTGCACAGAGAGAGGGGGAGAGGCAGAGAGAGAGACACAGAGGTCTTCCATCCACTGGTTCACTCCCCAGTTGGTCGCAACAGTGACCAATTGAGCCTATCTGAAGCCAGGAGCCAGGAGCTTCTTCTGGGTCTCCCACATGGGTGCAGGGGCCCAAGGACTTGGGCCATCTTCTACTGCTTTTCCAGGCCACAGCAGAGAGCTGGATTGGAAGTAGAGCAGCTGGGATGCAAACTGGCGCCCATATGGGATGCCGGCACTGCAGGTGGCAGCTTAACCCGCTACGCCACAGCGCCGGCCACCGGCCCAGGGTTTCAAGAGCAGCAGGAAGTTGGGCTTCAGTTTTCAGAGGGGGCTTTTCTGTGTGGAGCCGTCCAGTGCTGGTTGGTTTGTTCAGGTTTGTCCTGCACCCTGCACAGGTGGAGCCCGTTGCTGGGGCACAGTGGTCTGTGGGCCTCTGCCCGGCACGCTCTGGGCGGCGTGGTGCAGCTGCACTCCGGGGTTTGCCGAACGAGACCCGGGCCTGCGTCCCTGGGGAAGGTCTCGGGGCTGTGGGCTGACGCAGCTCCTGGCCCTTGACCTTCCTGTTCGTCCTGAGGAGAGCTGCGGCCTCGGGGTTTGGAGCATAGCCAGGTGACTTGCAGCAGCTGGGCATGAGGCCGCAGGGAGCGGGGGACTGCGGACTGGAGAGGGACCTGTGGCGGGCAGAGCACTGAAAACCCTTACACACCAGGGGTGACTGGAGCAGAAACAAAACCGCACGCCCGCGTGCGCCCCTGCTGAGAAGGGTGAATCTGCAGCCCTCACTTTTGTTTCCTGGCCCAGGTCCTCAAGGGATGGATGCCGACGAACTTCTGCAGTGTCCCTTCTAAATCGTGGAAATAGGGGATGGTGTTTGGCACAGCGGTTGAGACGCTGCTTGGAGGGCCCACGTCACCTAGCAGAGTCCTGGGTTTAAGCCCTGGCTGCGCTCCCAAGTCCAGCTTCCCGCTAATGGGCACCCTGGGAGGCAGCCGGTGATGGTTCAAGTTGTTGGGTGGCAGCCTGGCCTGCCCCTGTGTGGGGAGTGAACTGGTGGGTGGGAGACCCTGTTTCTCTCTGCCTTTCAAATAAATAAAAATATTTTTTAAAAAGACAGTGCATATAACAAGTGTTGTAGAAAAAGTAGGCAATATATATAATAAAAAATAAAATCATGTGATGACCCAAGAGAAATGAGAATGTCCCGACAAACACAAGTTCCTAGCTGCACACTGATACTAACCAAAGTGGAAACAGCCAAAATGCCCACCAGATGAAAATGTGACTGATGTGATAGAAGCAACTGTTTGTTTGTGTGATTAATTTAACTTTGCTTACTTTTTACGTTTTTAATTATTTGAGAGGCATATACTCAAAGAGAGTTCTCATCTACAGGTTCACTCCCCAGATGCCCACAATGGCTTAAACTGTGCCAGGCCAAAACCAGGAGACAGGAACCTAATCCACGTCTCCCGTGTCGGTGGCAGGGAGCCACCCTGTGGCCTCCAGGGGTCCACATTAGCAGGCAGCGGGAACCAGGACTGTACCCCAGGCACTCTCCTATGGGATGCAGGCGCCTTCACCGGCATGTTAACTTGCTTGGGCAAAGGCCCGCTGCCAAGTTCAGTAGCCACAGGTGCCCTCCCACAGCACAGCTCTGGCAGCCAGTGGTCTTCAGGTTCATGTTTTAGGCAGATGCTTCAGCATGTGGAATACAAGGAAGCAGACATGCTACACTGGTGGTTTTCTGCTTAGATTTATTTATCTGAAAGGCAGCAGTTGCTGGTGTTTCCCTGCCCAGTTCAGTCTCATCTCTGAAATAACCTCGGGTCACGGTGGGAGAATATCCTATCTTTTTAAAATAGCCTTTTTGCATTTTTTTGTTGTTGCTGCACACTGTGATAACATTTTATCATTTCAGTCTCCGTTTCCCAGTGTTAATTTTATTACTAAAACAAGTGGGGGCTGCTGCTTGCAGATTGGTGGGAGTCCTGGCTGTTCTGCTGATCCAGCTCCCTACTCATGCGCCTGGGAAAGAAGCAGAGAATGACCCAAGAACCTCAGCGTCTGCCACCCACACTGGGGACTGACCAGGATGACGTTTTGGGCTCCTGGCTTCAGCCCTGGCCCTTGTGGTCATTTGGGGAGTACACCAGCAGATGGAAGGGCTCGTTATCTCTCCCTTCCTCTCTGTAACTCTGCCTCTCAGATAAATAAATCTAAGCAGAAAACCACCAGGGCTTCAACAACTGCTAAAGTTTTGCCTGTTTATTTCCCAACCCTTTATCACATCTATACAAGCACCTCCAAAAAGTTTGTGGAAAATGGACTTAAAAGGTAAGCTTATTCTGGTGCAGATTCTTTAAAAATCCACAAATACTGGTATTTCGACAGTCACTGTTAATACTGTTGTGTCTACTGTGTGACCTCAGCATTATATCACAAAATATTTTCCTCCATTTCCAAATGCTCTTTGCTTTAGCAAGCAAGTTAAGTAGGTTTTTTTGCCTCTAACCCAGACCTCCACGTAACTGAACACTTGGTTTGTGTTTGTGAAGGAGGGATTCACCCTGCCTGTCCCCTGCCTGCAGCCCTTCTGCAGAGAGCATTTCTGTGCCCCAGGTGCCCACGCAGGAGCAGCCAGAGTTTCCATTGCAGAGGCTCTGTAGTGTTATGATTCCATTGTTGTCTCTTTGCATCTTTATCTTGAAATTTCTACTTATTTATTTGGGAGGCAGAGACGAGAGGGAAGGAGGACTCCCATCCACTGGGTCACTCCTTTGGTGCCTGCAGTAGCCAGGGCTGAAGCTGGGAGCTGGCAACTCAGTCCAGGTCTCCATATGGGTGGCAGGAGCCCAGTTACATGGTGCCTTGGCCTGTACTGGCGGGGAGCTGGAATCAGGTGGAGCCAGGGATCAAACCCAGGACTCTGGTGTGAGATACAAGCTTGCTTGCTTGCTTGCTTTCAGATTTTATTTATTTATTTATTTGAGAGGTAGAGTTATAGACAGAGAGAGGGAGAGACAGAGAGGTCTTCTGTCTGCTGGTTCATTCCCCAAGTGGCTGCAACGGCCAGAGCTGGGCCAATTTGAAGCCAGGAGCCAGGACCTTCTTCCAGGTCTCCCATGCGGGTGCAGGGGCAAGCACGTGGGCCATCTTACACTGCCTTCCCAGGCCACAGCGGAGCGCTGGATCGAAAGAGGAGCAGCCAGGATGCCAACCGGCGCCCACATGGGATGCCAGCGCTGCAGCTGGAGGCCCAGCCTACTACGCCACAGTGCTGGCCCCTCTCTTCTTTTTTTAAAGATCTGTTTGTTTATTTATTTAATTGAATGGCAGAGATAGAGGGAGAAACAAAAAGAGAGATCTTCCATCTGCTGGTTCACTCCTCAGATGGCTGCAACAGCCAGGGCTGGCCCGTGCTGAAGCCAGGGGCATCTTCCGGGGCTCCCATGTCAGTGCAGGGGCTTCAGCACCTGGGCCATCCTCTGCTGCTCTCCTGGGTGGATTAGCGAGGAGCTGGATTGGAAGTGGGGCAGCCGGGACTCGAACCAGCAGCGCCCATGTGGGAGGCCAGCTTCACTGGCAGCGGCTTTACCCGCTGTGCCCGAGAGGTTAGATCTCGTGTGTCCAAGGTTCAGCTGTTCTTGGAGCAAAAGGGTGAAACAGTCCTTTTGCAGAGGTCTTGTCTCTTCTCCTTTAGGATCTGGTCAACACTGGACTCAGCACTTTCTTTTTCTTCATTGCCTCCATTGCCCTGGCCGCTCTAAACCACAAAACTGGAGCAGAAATTGCCGCCGTGGTAAGCGAACTCAGGGGCAGGGGTGTGGGTGAGCCACAGCTGACAGGGCCCCTCCTGTGGCTTTCTGTCCCCTGTCCCCGGCGTGTGTCCTGCCCACCCGCCGCCCTCAGCTGCTGCTTGGCTGACAGTGATGGGACCCCGTCTTGCGCGGCTCGGCAGTGCCAGGCACTTCTTCTCTCTTGCGGGTGGAATGCTGGGGTGGGGGCCAGGGAGCATGAGGCTTTCACTCCCTCCGCCCTGCGTTCCCGTGTTGTTCTGGGTTCACAGGAACATGTTTCACGCTCATAGCTGGGGTGGGGATTAAAAAGTTTATTAAAAAATTTAAACGCGCGGCTCTCCCAGGTACCACTTAATCAAAGAATCAAAGCCCTCTGCTTGTCACCTTGGAGCTGCCAGGTGAGGCCGCTGGCCAGCAGAGGCCAGCCCCACGGCCCAGTGTGAGGCTCACACGTGCGTCCCTCACTTTCACCTTCAGTGTGTTTTCTCACCTGTGTCCAGAGGCCACGGAGGTGCTGGGAAAGAGGTCCTTTGGTGACTTTTAAAAGGTCCAGAATACTGCATTAGGACCCTAGGCCATCTGCCGGTCAGGCGGGATTTTCTTCCACCGACACCCACGGCCTTGCACAGGGCAGGCGCATGCCGGGGTCCAGCGGGAAGGGCTGCCTGCGGCTCGGGGCGGGGGCCCGGGACCAACCATGCCTGTGTGTTGCAGATATTTGGCTTCTTGGCCACGGCGGCATATGCGGCGAACACGTTCCTGGCTGTGCAGAAATGGAGGCTGAGTGTCCGCCAGCAGAGCGCCAATGACTACATCCGCGCCCGCACTGAGTCCCGGGACGTGGACAGCCGCCCAGAGATCCAGCGCCTGGACACGTGAGGAGCGCCAGGCCGCCCCCCGCCGGCTCTCGGCCCATCCTTCCCAGCCCCTCTCCCTCGGCACATCCGGTTGTTGCGTGATTCAGTGGAATGGTGGCCTCCTGGGTAGAAGTGCCGCTTGGGGAGGGGTCTCCAGGATGGCACAGCATGGGCCCGTGGCAGGCTGCGAAGGCCCACGTCCTGCGGGGTGGCCGACCGCCCTGGTCCACCTTCCGTGTGCACCGTCTCAGAGCACAGGCGCCCCTCCGACCCTGAACCGCACTGTCCCCTGTGCCTGTGAAGAGTCAAGACTTCGGATTCAACCTGGCTGCTCCCAAGAAGGGGTGGGCACCAAGGGCCGAGCCGTGGGGTTGGGAGGCCAGCAGCAGCCCCTGTGTGAGACCCTGGTCCTGCTTGGGGTCACGTGAGCCTGTCTGCCAGGGTGGCCCTACTGCTTGTCATCCACACCCAGGACACTCAGGTGGCCAGCACGGCCAAGGCCACAGACGACCATCAGGGTCTTGGCAGGGGAATGCTGGTGGAGCTCTTGACTGGGCCTGGGCTCCGTGGGGGTGGGGCAGGCCGTGTGCAGCTGGGACAGCTGACTCCTGTCACCCACCCCACTGCGCAGTCTCCCGACTCTTGTTCCAGTGACACCTCTGAGCCGCAGGTTCTCCTCCGGGAACACGGGGGCCAGCTTGTTTTCCAGTTTCCTTCCTGTCCCTGAGTCCTTTGAGGCTGAACTGCAGAGTCGCTGGAATTTTACCTTCTCAGGCAGAAGCCAGCAAAGAATCGTGGTCCACTGCAGCAGCCAAGGTGCTTGCCCTGTTGTCGGCTTTGGGACCACGGGGAGGGGGTGTGTCTGTAGGAGGTATCCGCCTGCACCCCTGCCCTCTGCCTGTGTAGACCGGTCCAGGATCTGGACGCACAGGGCGCATCTTCCCAGCGGCGTTCAGGAGGCACAGTCATCACCCGTCGCCACCATGGGTGTCACACTGTGGACCCCAGGCCGGGAAGAATCCTGGTTCATTAAGGCTTTTGATTGATTCATAATCAAGTGCAGATATTTTTTGAGATGCGTGAGTTCCATGAGCTTCTCTCACATCTTAGGGTTTGGTTTTTTTTTTTTTTTAAATTTGAGTAATTTTATCTTTGATGGAAAAATGTTTTTTGCCTGTCCGGTGTTCACTCCTGGAGCCACTTTCAATGTTTACAAACCTCCCTCGGGTCTCGCCTCCCCAGGCAGCGAGCCTGATGGCTGGGAGGATTCCGCAGCCCTGGGGAGAGGCCCCAGGCCCCCAGCCTGACGAATGTTTACATGACAGCCTCAGAGCAGGGAGAGCGGGCTGTGGAGGAGTGTCCCCCTGCGCCCCTGCACCCCTGCATAGTGGATTCTTCCCAGCAAGGTGTGGGGGAGTTCATCCGGCAGCACCGCCGGGCTGGGGCCTCTCCAGGAAATGGTACAAAGCTGTCTCTGAAGGGTCAGGGTCAGGGTCAGGGATGAGCCCACTACACCCAGCATCCCGCACAGTCCGAGTTCTGCCGCAGCTCCTGGCCGGGGCAGTGTCCCACAGGGCGTGTGTCCAAGCACCACGTCCACGCTGGGCTGGAGGTACCTTCCTCCCCCACCCCCTCCCCCAGAGGCCTGCGCCCAGCCCTTGGGTGTCAGGCACTGATACAAGTCAAGCTTCACAAACTTGGAACTTACTTTATGTTGTGATTCGGGGTGGAGAGTATGGCATGGGGATTTTATCTGTTCATTTTCTGTATTTATTTTGTATCTGTCAAGTGTGTCTGCTCAGTGAGGATGGGACTGGCTTCCCTTCGGGAGTCCCTGAGCCTTCACCCCTTGCGCCCACGAGGAGGGGCCACCCTGAGCTTTCTCAGAAATCTCCTGGGGGGCCCCATCGCTTGGCCCTGAGTCAGGAAAGGCTGAGCCTTTTGAAGTCAGGTTTCCCGAGTCCCCTCCGGAAAGCCGGTTTCAGGTCTGGGGTAAGGAGACAGCTGATTGTCCAAGGAGTAGCTCCGAAGCTGACGCCAGGCAGCGAGGAGGAGCCCACGTGCCTCGTGGGACCTGGGAGCAGGTGCGCAGCCTGGTGACGCAATCCGCGCGGCGATTTTTGCCCCTGTAACTGCTAACATCCTTCCCTCCCCCGTGGCTTCTGAGTCTGCCCGCGCGGTTTATCTGGCTCCCGCTGGGACCAGAGGTGGCCGGGCACACTTCTTCTACGGCAGGCGGCACCATCGCCCAGCTCCACCTATAGGGCTGTCGGGAGGGGGTTGTGGCCGGCCCTGGGGTACCCGAGGGCACCTCGCACAGAAGACCATCCAGATCGGGGCCTTACGACGACCTCTGCAGATGGAAGGAAGCATAGACCTGCATCGAATGGTTCTGATGTGGGCCAGCGTCAGGCTGGGGGCACTTGGAGGCTGAAGTAGCCTGACTGGTTTTTCCGGGCCTCTGAGCAGGCGGGTATTGGCTTTCAACTCGCTTCCCTTCCGCTGGGCCTGCAGGGAGCCTGTGCAGTTAGCCCTCAGGAACACGTGCCTGACGCCCGGCGCTGCTGCCTCCGGAGAAAGGCCGCCTGGGCAGTGAGCTGGGAGGGGCTGGTTCCCTGCCAGGAGGGAACCGCTGCACCCCTCCCCGCACCGTCCCTGCTGTAGGGACCACAACCATGAAGGCCCGAGGACGGGTGGCCCCATGCACAGCTGGGAGAGGGCAAAGGCAGTCCCAGCCTGGAGTCTCATCCGGAAGGCTGAGCTAAAGAACACAGCCACCCAAGGGAGGTGACTTCTGTCGATTATGGCAAAGCAAAGCAAGGTCTCGGCAGCCCGAGCATGGGCAGGGCCGGCTGTGTGGGTCCGGTCCTCGGTGCCCGCAACCGTCCCCCAGCAGGAGGGCGCACACTGGCACACAGGCGCAGCGCGTCTTACCTGCACTCTGCGGGTCCCTCTGGCGAGAGCTGGGACTCCACTGAAGACCCCAGCCTCTTGGAGCTGCCATTCTCGTCCGCCCTTCTTTGAAGCCTTCCTCGCAGTTTAGACTTGGTCAAGCCACGGGGGGCTCTGAGACAAAGCAACAAGGATTCTGTACGCCCACGCGAGTTCTCTGTGTGTTCTGTGAAGTCTTGCTTGCCACGAATGAGCCTCGAGTAACCCTGGTGCGTGTCCCGTCCTGCCTGTGCGTGGCCCGAGCTCGTGTCTTCTCGTGGATTTGCATGTGCTTCTCCGAGGGAGCTCCTCACCCGTGCGTGTGCGCTCAGAGGCGCGCCACAGTCGGGGCCCTGTCTGCACGAGACCTCCTGTGGGTTGTCTCAGAACCTGTCCCAAACAGCTGGAGAGACACGGGGCCGACGTAGTGATCCCGAAAGGCTGTGATGAGGTCGGTGGTTCCTGTTGTGCCAGCCACGCTGCAACCAGAGCAGCCACGAAGCGACTGGCATTCTCTCCAGATGGCGTTCACAGAGAAATCACAGAGAATACACTTTCTAGCCAGGGGCTGCTGGCTGATTCTGAGCAAACAAGTGGCTGGTGCTGCCGGGGTCTGCTCTTAGCCTGTGGGGTCTTCAGACTCCGTCCCTGGGCTGTGTGACTGCATCTGCACTGGCTCCCTGGGCTGTGCAGGGGTCCGTGGGAGACAGGGGGGAAGAGAGGGATCCCCCAGCACCCCCAGCCTGGGTCTCGCCACACACACCAAGTGTCCCAGTCAGCATGGGGCATGAGCTGAGTGCCGGACACTGGTTTGCCAGGGAGAGGCGGGCTCCCGGCGCCTTGTTTGGGAACCCATGGTCTGGGCTCAGATGTCCTCCCAGGCAGGACGCAGGCCAGCCCCTACCACCCTTGTGCTTCGTCAGCTGTGAGTCTGCCAGTTCCCCTCTCTGTAGAAGGTGCCATGAAAGTCAGGCCTGGTCGGGAAAGTCATTCACCGCCATGTTTGACATTTTGTTTCTTTTAAACACTCTCAAGGAAAAACGCCTTCAGCGTCTGTTAGCTCTTGAGGAAGGTTCTGGAAGAGAGGTTTCCATGGCCTTTTCTCATAGCACACATCGTCTGTACACACGTGTGCATGTGGCCCTGAAATGGGCGTGTCCTGGCCTGGTCTCCCTTCCTTGTCTGGAATATGTTCTTGTCCTTGTGGGTACGATTTCCCAACCTTTGGGATTTTTAAAATTCTTTTCATTTCTGGTTTTCCTTATTCCATAAACAGTAAAGAAAAGCAAGTGACCCACAGACCCGCTGAGCCGGAGTCGCTGGCGACCTGTCTAGGGTAGAGTTTGGACCGTGAGCCCTCGCAGGGTTAGTTTGCTCTCCCTAGGCAGCTTGTTCTCCTGCACCCTTGGGTGGCAGGGCGGCTGCAGCACAGAACACACAAAGGCCTTAGGTTACGGCGCTGAGCGCGCCCGGTGAGCCGCCGAGACGTGTATGGCTCTGATCGCCAGGTGGGAGGTGTCGCGCCTCCTGCATCAGCCTCGTGCTGGGGTTTAGGGCCAGCTGTTTCTCACAGTTGCGCCTGCAAGGAGAGGGACTGCAAACCAAGAGGGTGAGGACGGTGTGTGTGGGAGTCAGGCCTGATCCAAAACTGCCAAGAGACACGGGGACCCTGGCAGGAGTGGCCTGGGCCTGGCCCCCAGAGGGGGCCGCCTGCTCCCAACCCTTCCACGTAGTAACCCACAGAGAAGTGAGTTTCCCAACTTTGCCTTGTGGTCAGACGGGCCTGTCCGGACCAAATCAGTGCTCTCATAACTTAATGTTGCTCCACATGGCTCCTTCTGAGACAGCGCGACCCAGGGAGACGCGCTCCCCAGGGAGACGATCTGTATATGTTGAACACGCAAGGGTTCAGGAACCCGAGGCAGAAACACTAAGCTATTTATTACAAGTGTGACTGTATCATTTTCTTTTTGCAAAGCAGGCAATTCTTTGTATATTTTAAGACAAACACTCACGTCACCTTTGGTGCCTTCCATGCGTCACTGAAGCACTCTTGTCAATCATGGAGTCGGAAAAAAAGATGTACATTTAGGTAAACCAGATAACACTATTTTTGTAGCATGAGTTTAGATTGTGTCCTTTTACTATTGCTTTCCACAGCGCTTTAAACTTCATATGTATTTTTTAAAAGAAACCCCCCCCCCCCCCGCAGCTCCAGTCTCCTCTGCCACTTCCCCCCAGTACCACGTTTCTGCTGATTCAAGTCATCTGAGAGTACACTTCTGTGACCTCATTATGAACTGGTGGGCTTGCATCTGGCATCTTTTATCCACTCAATCAGTGTGGAGGGCCACTGTTCACCTCAGAACAGGAAGAGGAAGGGTTGCCCTATCTCGAAGAGAGAGCCTGCGTCTGGCTCCCTGCCTGTGCCCCGGCCGCGCGGGGCACCTGCGGCCCAGCGAGCAGGCCCCTGCCCATCTCCGGGGCTGAGTCACATCCCGGGACACCTGCTGGGCCGCTGCAGATGGGGGAGGGGTGTGTGTGTGTGTGTGTGCATAGCCCTCGGCCCCCCACCCTCGATGATCTGCCCACCCAGGAAGTCAGACAGCTAAGTAATCACTTTGCAACTTAATCACCCAGGGGCACCTCCCCTGGCAGCGCTTCTGGCGGGGGTGGGGGCGGGGCGGCATCCAGTGACCATTCACTTGCTCCTCCAAGGTCTGTGTCTTCTCCACAGCTCGGACACAGATCCGGCCGTTCTGAGGTGGTGCCGCTCGGCCAACTCTGGACTCTGCACAGCTGCCATCCTGGCTTCTCACGGGGACAGGGACGCCCGGGGGGGGGGCCAGCCGATGTGGCCCCCGTAGTTTCCTTTGAAGGACCCGTTTTTCATGGTACTTGTCTTGTTTTCATAGTGTGCAAATCTGTATTTTTGTATGTAGAGGGAAATAATTTTGTCAACACTAATCACTAATATTGTACTAAATTGTCATGAAGGAGTTCCTGGTTAATAAATGGACACGTAAACGCACGCCGGTCTCCCTCCCTGCCGATGGGCTGTGGGGCCTGTGTCCCCCGCACGTCCCTCGGCCCCCGCACGTTCTTCACACCTCCTTTCGGGTGTCGGGTGTGGAAGCCGGTGCTCCGTCAGCTCGGGCCAGTTCACCAACCAGGGCCTTCGACATGAGGTGTCTCAGGCCAGCAGCTTCCAAACCAGCTGCAAGCTGCCGGGGCCATGGTCTGCATGTGCGAGGGCCCGGGGCCGGGTTCCCTGGGTGTGGAACAGGGTGGTGACGGGGTGAGAGGCGCACTGGTGGCTTGTGCATTGCCGCCCACCCAGTGCGCTGCCCCTGAGCCCCGGGGTGGGGTGTGCAGCCTGCTCTGGCTGGGGGTGGCGTTGCAGACACACACATTCCCAGCACGGGCAGCCTGGTTTAATTCATTCATTATGGCTCTCTTCAGGGTGGGAGATCCACATGCAAAGATCAAGGGTACAAATGCCCACGACTCTGGCTCACGTGTGAAGCCTTTTGGTTAAGAAGCTGCTTTTGTGTATGTGTATAAAAATTATAAAAAGTTACAAAATCCCATTGAAGGTGCATACATGGTAAGTCCTTACAAACACAAGAAGGCGCGTCTCCTCTCGGGGGAGGCGGTCCGCAGACCTGCTTGGGTGTCCAGACGTTGAGGGTCCCAAGAGCCTCTTGCCTGCTAGCCAGTCCCCAGGAAGAGGGAGGTGTAGCTGGGCCTGCCCAGCTACCCTTCGTGACACTGTCGCTGCTACGTCCTTGGTCGCCTCTGAGCTTGGGCCATGGCAACTGGCCTATGGGCTCTCCTTGGGAAGTCAGCCCCAGAGAGGCCCTGTCACCGAGGGAGGCGGGAGGTGTCAGTTGTGGGGGCCAGGGCCCCGGATGACAAGGCAAAGGTCAGTTCTGTCCCTGCTTCAAGGACAAGGAAGATACACGGTGCTGCTGGAACACAAGGCCCTGGGCGGGGCCATCCTCAGCAAAGCACCCGGCTCACTCAGGAGCATCACGTGCCCGCGGGGGTCTCTGTCAGTGGCACACAGAGCCCCCCGAGGGCGGTGCTGCCCATGCTTAATTTTGGCGGAGAGGGTGGAGGGTGTCAGGCCCATGAGACACAAATGGGGAGACCCCCCAGCCTGTGCACACAGTGGTTCAACAGTGCTGAGCCGAGGGGAGCAGTCTTGGGTGCTGGGCTCAGGGCAGAACTTCGAGGCTGCAGGAGGCCTGCTCCAGCTGTACCTGCAGTGGCCGCAGCCTCCCCCCCACGCCGTGTCCCCCGCCAGCCACACTCCCAGCAGCAGGGCGCAGGCGCGAAGGCCTCAGTCGGAGTCCGAATCGGAATTCTCTTCTGAAAGGAAGGCAGAGAGGGTGCCGGCTGGAGGCAGCAGTGCCAGCACCGGACCCTGGGGAGCCCAGGGCCCAAGCCCCTCCACAGGGAGCCCCTTCCCCTCAGGCAGCAAGTGGGCACCCACCCCACCCCTGCAAGCGCAGATGCCCCCTGCCCCCGGGCTCTTCCCCCTGGGGGTGTCGGGTACACTGGCACCCCAGCTTCAGGAAAAGGCGAGGACAGCCCAGTGGCCTCTCTCTGGCCATTTTATAGCCCGCCCCCCGATCCTTGGTCTATTTGTGATCAGAAATAATTTGATATAAGGGCTGTGAGGGGTGTCTCGAGGTTCCCCAGTGGAGCCTTCGGGAGCCGCACACCCCAGGAAGGGAAAGCACCCAGTCATGAGCCCTCCCTGGCCTTGTCAGCCCTCGCTGCAGGCTTGGGGCCAGCGAGGCCACCTGGGGCCCCCAGCCGTCTGGAGAAACGTCCCTAAACCCCCACTTCCCTTCAACCTCCTGCCGGGCTGTGCTGGTAAGATCTGTGTAGACTGTGCTATGTTCAGGTCTAACGTACGGGCCGGGAATAATCTTCAGCAAAAAATAAATACAAGGTTCATGGGAAATGCATATTCTGAGAAACCCACACGCGTGCATCCCAGTTCTCCGCAGCAAAAGGCACATCTTCGCGTTCCATTTTTACTTCAACTTTCCTGAAGTCCCCATGGACTTGAGGTTCTCCAAGTACTTAAGAAGAACAAACCAGGCATCTCGGCCGACGTGGCCCCCCCGTGTCTGACACAGGGCCCAGGAAGAAGCAGGCCACAGACACTCAGGCTGGGGGAATTCAGTGCTGAGCAGGACAGCCCATGGATTCAGCTGCACGGAGCCACTGGGGCTGCTGGCCCACACGGCCCACACGGCCCACACGGCCCACACGGCCCACACGGCCCTGGCCTCTGCGTTGCAGGTGCCCCGGGGCTGTGGAGGGGGCGGGGCAGGTTAGCCCATCCCACGTTAGCTCCTGGGCTTCCTGGCATTTGATGCTGCTCTGTGCCTCTAGGCTGTGACTGAGTGTGCTCTGGCTCCTCCTGCAGGCCACCCCACAGGCCCTACGCTGGCCAGACACAGCGCACGGAGGATGTGCCGGTTGGTCGGCACAGCTCTGTGGGGTAGCCTCACGGAGCCAGAGGGGGGGAACCTGCATGGCTGCTACGCTCTCCTGAGAAGCAAAACCCGCAGAAGCTGGAGCCTGTGGGCTCCGTCTGGATGCCAGCCGGGGTCCCTGGGCAGGTGAGGCCGCAGGGGGAGCTGAGCAGAGGCGGGCGGCTGCTCTGGGGACTTGTCCAGGGGGAGTGCGGTGTGTCACTGGGGCTCAGGCAGGCTCTGGGCTTGCCCTCTCCGGAAAGGCAGAGGCCCCGAGGGGCCTGGCTTCGTGCTCGGTGCTGCAGGAAGGGACGTGAGAACCAGGCTGCTGAAACGACTCACAGCCCTGCCTCTACCCAGCCAAGCGTGCCCGGGGCGGGCAGCTGGAGTCCCCAGCCAGAAACGGACACCGGCCACCCACCTTCCGCCTTGCGGGCTGTGGTCTCATCTGCAGAGTCCCCTTGCTTGAGGAATTTGGCCACGTCATTGAAGATCAGGTAGAAGTCGATGGCAAACACGATGGTGGCAAAGAAACCAAACACCTGTGGGAACGGCAGGCAGGGTGTCGGCCGCGTACCCGGGCCCCGGGAGAGCCGTGCTGAGGCGCCACGGAAGGGCAGACACAGGTGCCTCCAAGCCGTGGACTGGGAAGGGGAAAACGCTGCGAACGAACTCGGTTGCACAAATAGCTGATCACGCCTCAGGGCAGAAGAAATGGGCCCCACGGAGCGCCCAGGGGCCAGAGCAGGGGAGGGCGTGCCCAGCCCCCACCCCAGCACCCCGAGGGGGCACCCGCAGCTTCAGGCGGGGGAGCGGGAACTCCAGGGGACACCGCGGGGCACCCCCTCCACGGGGCGGGGCAGTCGCTCACCCCCGCTGCTTTGGATGCCCCATCTGAGTATTTGGCGACGGCCGTGATGGAGATGGCGAAGTAGATGAGGGCCGCGGTGACGCAGCGCAGGAAATCCTGAGGAGAGAGGGGTGTGGCGTGTGGCAGGATTCACCTGCGGGGGGTCCCCCAGGGTCCCATCCCATCTCGGCCCCGCCCACCAGGCGCTGCCTGCTGTACTGGGGCTGCTGTCCAGGCAGGGACTGGAAACGTGTCACCCGCCCCCCCTAGGGAACCTGACCCTGGGCCTGCCATGGCTGATGCGCTATCCCTCCCTTAACTGGAGACAGAGGGTGCAGAGAGGCCGGGGTGAGGCCAGGAGGCCAGAGTTCCCGTGCAGCCCTTGCTGCTGCTCCTCTGTGACGTTCGTCATCCCACAAAGCCCACTGGCGGGGCTCTGGGCCCTTGCAGGTGACAACAGGTCTGGGAAGCCCTGCAAGTCCTCAGCTAACCCGCGTGGCCAGGATTCTTGCGGCTGAGGCTCATTCCTCCAAGGCCGCGCGCTGGGAGCACCAGCGCCACCTGGTGGCCAAAGGCTGTCTCCAGCGCCCAGCTTGGAATCTGCTCCAGGCATATCGCCTCTGAGCCGGAGGGGCCGGATCCGGCTATCCAGCGGCCTCCAACAGCAAGCCGCCCTCGGGGACATCCGAGGGTCGGGCCCCAGAGGCACAAGGCTGGATTCCTCATCTGCCCCTCTGCGATGGACGGCCAGCCCTGTCCTCACCATCATGGGCCAGCACAGGCCCTGCCACTTGTCTTTCAGCTGCATGGCATCGGCAAAGAGGAAGTAGAGGGCCAGCAGGAACTCCAGCAGCGGCGCCGTGAAGAAGGCGGACGCGGAGGACGCCACGTAGCAGATTAAGGTGATGAAGGAGAGGCCCTGTGGGGGAGGGGTTGATGGCAGAGGTCAGAGCCCCTCCCAGCCAGGCCCCATAGGACAGGGAAGCCACCTGCCTAGCGCCCTGCAGCTGGGGACCCAGGCCCACGTGTGCTGTCCCCAGTCCTGCTCCACACCAGCTCCCCGCCCAGGCCCCAACCTCCCAGGAGACCACCCCCACCCCCACCCCACAGTGGTTCTATGGCAGAATCCACTCCATTCAGATGGGGTTAACTGTGGAGTGAACCCACAGCAAACGGCAACCGGTCTCCTAAGTCATACCCCAGGTAAGGGTTTGCTCACCGAACGTAAATTTTATCCAAGAAATGAAAAACCCTGAACCTCGGGGAAGTGCATGCCCAAGTGCTTAGACTCGACGCATACCGAGGTCTCCAACTTATTGGAAAATCACCATGTAGAGTGAACTGACAGACACATAGATCGACAGGTGACAAAGCAAATACAGGAAGGTGTTAAAAGGCAGAGAGAGGGAGAGACACCGCTGGTGCACTCTCCAAATAGCTGCCAGGCCTGGGCCCGGCGCTGTGACACAGCAGGTAAAACCTCCACCTGCAATGCTGGCTCCCATGTGGGTGCCGGTTCGAGTCCCAGCTGCTCCCCTTCCGATCCAGCTCTCTGCTGTGGCCTGGGAAAGCAGTAGAAGATGGCCCAAGTCCTTGGGCCCCTGCACCCGCATGGAAGACCTGGAAGAAGCTCCTGGCTCCTGGCCTCTCAAATAAATAAATAAATCTTTAAAAAAAAAACAACAC